GTTGTTAACAGCTTTAGTTTACTTGCTTCCACAGTCAACACTCGTGGTACCAGTAACCAGGAAACAAAAAGACTAATTGAGAAAGTCTGCTTTAAAAGACCTCTCCGAAGTACTTAAGAGTCATGATGTCCATCTGGAGACTAAGGTATGCCTGATTCAGGCCATAATCGTTGTAATTACTTACTATGCATTGGAAAGCTGGACAATGACTAGGGATGATAGAAAGAGAATTGATGCCTTTCAGCTGTGGTGCTGGAGATGAGTGCTGAATATGTCATGGAATGCTAGGAGAACAAACAAGTTAATCCTAGAGAGGATGAGACCAGGCTAGCTGCTCCTTGGAGAAAAGGATGCTGAAGCTTTGTCTGACATATTTTGGACATGGTGCAAGACAGGACCAGTCTTTGGAGAGGTACATCATGCTTGGAAGGTTAGAGGGACAGCGCAAAAGAGGAAGACCCTTGATGAGATGGATCGATTCAGTGACTGGGGTAATGGGGGTAGGTGTGTCGGAGACAATAAGATTGGCACAGGATAGAGCAGGTTTTAGGGCTCTTGTACATAGGGTGGCTGTCAGCAGGTGACTTAACGTCATATAACAACAACAATAATGATGTTATGATGAACATTCTTTAACTAGCACAGCAGTTATTTGTCTGTTTAGATTTGCTGTGATGCTGAATACTCTGTCATTGTTGTGTCAAATACCATAATGATTACCCATCATAGTCAGTGTTTGGAGGAGCTTCCAGGTTGCTACAGGTTTAGAAGCAGGAATGGCACCCACTTTCTAACCACATGTCTTTGGAAACTATAAACTCTTTAAACATAAAGAAATGATAGAGAACAGAGTTCAGTTCTTTTGTTCAAAAGGTCTCTATGAATCGTATTTGACTTGATGACACTTAACCAGTGCTAAGTTAGACTAGTGTTGTTCTATATAGGAGGAATATTCTTCTCCTTGTACATCACTCTTTGTCAGTTTGCTGAACTGAGGTAATTTGGGTTTGCTGTGATGCTTCCAGTGATGCTGTGATGGCAAGTCAAATGTCATACTGGTTTCCCACGGTGGACAGTGCTTGGTGGAGCTCCCAGTTGTAAAACAGGTTTGGAAGCAGGAGTGGCATCCACTTCCTAAACCACATGCCTGTGGAAACTATGAATTTGGAGAAAAGATGATAGTTACAGAAAGTCAGTAGGTCTTTTGTTTATAGAGTTACTATGAGTCGTGTTCACCTTGACGGCAGTCAACAACAGCAAAACTTTGTTCAAAAATCTGGAAGAAAACCACCTGGCCAACTGACTGGAAGATCCACATTCGTTCCCATTCCAAAGAATGGTGACTTGATAGAGTGCGGAAATTATCGAACAGTATCTGTTAATATCAAATGCAAGGAAATTCTGCACATTTACAGAGAACTGCTAGATGTGCTGGCTGGATTTAGAAGAGACAGTGGTACTAGGGATATTATAGCTAATATTAAATGGATCTTGACGGAAAGCAGAGAGCACTAGAGGAATGTCTATCTGTGTTTCATTGACTATGCAAAGGCATTTGTGTGGATCACAACAAACTGTGGCTAACTCTGAAAAGAATTGGAATCCCAGAAAACTTGCTTGTGATTTTGTGAAACCTATACTCAGACAAGGAGGCAGTCTTAAGAACTGAGCAAGGAAACAATGCATGGTTTAAAATCGGGAATGGTGTATTCCAGGGATGTGTCCTATCTCCATACCTTTTCAATCTATTTGCAGAACATAATCCAGGAGGCTGGGCTCTATGAGGAGGTGTGTGGCATAAGGATTGGAGACTTACCAACAATCTGAATTATGTACATAACACAACCTTGCTTATTGAAACTAAGGAGGACCTGAAACACTTGCTGCAAAGGTCAGAGGCTATAGTCTTTAATATGGATTGAAACTCAACATCAAGGAAATGAAGATTCTCACCACTGGGCTGATTGGCAGCATCTTGATACATGGTGAAGAGATTGAGAGGCTGATTGGCAGCATCTTGATACATAGTGAAGAGATTGGGAGGCTGATTGGCAGCATCTTGATACATGGTGAAGAGATTATTAACAGCTTTAGTTTGCTTGTTTCCACAGTCAACACTCTTGGTACTAACGACCAGGAAATCAAAAGATGAGAGTTGTATTGGGAAGGTCTGCTGTCAGAGACATCTCCAAAGTACTGAAGTGCAAAGATGTCAGTCTAGAGACTGAGGTGAGCCTGATCCAGGCCATGGTCTTCACAGTTACTTGCTACGCATCAGACTACCGGACATTGTCAGTCTGGAGACAACGGTGTACCTGATTCAGGCCATGGTTTTTGCAGTTAGGGCTATGGAAAATTGAAGCCTTTGAGCTGTGGTGCTGTAGGAGAGTATTGAATATAACATGGACTGCTAAGAAAATGAACAGGTTCATCCTGGAGAGGGTGAAACCAGATTGTTCCTTGGAGGCAAGGATTCTGGAGCTCTGCCTGACATACTTTGGCCATGTTGCAAGAAGGGATGAATCCTTAGAGAAGGACATCATGATTGGGAGGGGGGAGGGACAGCACAAGAGAGAGATCCTTGATGAGATGAATTGACATAGTGTCTGTGGTAATGGGGGTAGGTGTGTCAGAGATTATATGGTTGGCTCAGGATAGAGCAGGGTTCAGAGCTGTTGTACATAGGGTCACTATTAATCATAGGTGACTTGACAGTATATAACCACAACAAGAATAATAATAAATATTTTACATTTCTTCTAGCAGTGTTTTATAGCTCGTGGTCTATGAGTCTTCCTTTTTTTTTTTTTGTTGAGTTTAGTCTTAAGTATTTCAATCTTTTAGGTGCTATTGTAAACAGTATTTTATTTTTTGCCTCTTTGAAAATTATAGTACATCAAGGCACTTGGGTATTATTTATTTAACAGTTTTAATTTTTCACCTTCTCACTTTTTTTTTTTTTTAAGAAAAAACACTCAATTTATTTCCTGGAAATATATTACTAAGGCTGACACAAATAGATGTAAAGAACAGTCTTCTCAAGCAAAAAAATACCAAAAAGTACCAACTACATTGTATTCTATTATAGGAATGTAATACAGTATATCAGTCCATTCTATTAATGGACATTTGGATTTACGAGAATTTTTTGGGTTTTATTAATTTCTGATCTTTTTTATATGTGTTTTCAGTGAATGGATGCTAAGATCTCTGTTAATATGGGTAGAATTACTGTGTCACAATATTTTCCTTGTTCATCTTTAGGAGATATAGTTGAGTTGCTTTTCAAACTAATTTTACCATTTTCCACTTGCCCCAAGGATATATGTAAGTTTAATTGTTCTCCAATTTTGTTAATACATGAGTAATGCCAATCCTTTTCATTTTAGCAACTTTGAGAAAATAGTTTTAAGTTTAGTTAGCACTAAATTAACAATGGTTAAATTTAGTTAACAAATGGTTAAGAACTCTGCTGCTAATTGAAATGTTGACAGTTCACTCCCATTCACTGATCTGTAGGAAGAATATTGGCAGTCTCATTTCATAAAGATATTCAATCTTGGATGGCTAGTCCACTTTGTTTTGGAATTGACATGACTGCTTTGATGTTTATAATTTTTCTTTGCATTATTTGGGTAAATAATGAAGATGAGTACCTTTTTAATTTGTATTGGTCTTTTGGCTTTACCTTTTTGTAAAGCCCATGTTCATGTCTCTGATTAGTAAATGGTAAGTGACAAATCCAAGGCTAACAGGTAAAGCCGGCCACTGGTTCATTCTTTTTCTCTTCCCACTGCCTCCCCCCACCCCCCCATGTTTTCCTTCACGTTTCTTACTGTTCTGTAGAGTTTTTTGGTATATGTTGTTGTGTGATGTTGTGTCAGAACCAATCCATGGATAACCCTCTAGTGAGTTTCCAGAGGCAGCAAATCACATGGGAGAAAGTTAACCATCCTTCTCCCTTGGAGCAGCTGATGGATTTGGATTACATCCTTTTGAGATTGTATATACTCTGAATATCTATCTCATGGAGCAGCTGGTGGATTTGGAGTACAAGTTTCTGAGGTTGCATATACTCTGGCTATACGTCAGTTATTTGATTTAAATATTATAAATACTTTTCCCTCAGCTTGGAACTAGAAACAATTCTTTCACTTGTCATTTCTGTTTTTTAAACCTTTGAAATCATTAGGAAAAATGATTATTGTTAAGCACATTTGGTCAATTAACAGTAAAATATTTTATGAATATATGGCCACTGGAGTGTATTTTAAACCAAAATTAATTTGTGGCAAAATAAAATTTTATGTAATTTCATTTGTATGAGTTACAAACTAAATGACTTTAATCTTATGTTTAATTTTAGAATCTTTTAGCTGAGAAGGTGGAACAGCTGATGGAATGGAGTTCGAGACGTTCGATCTTCCGAATGAATGGTGATAAATTCCGAAAGTTTATAAAGGCACCACCTCGTAACTATTCTATGATTGTTATGTTCACTGCTCTTCAGCCTCAGCGTCAGTGTTCTGTGTGCAGGTAATTTATATATTTTAATTGTTAGAAATTGTTACCTCTAACTTAAATATTTATTTTAAGGTCCACGTCTATAAGAGAGTGAAACAACTATTCAGTTTGTAGTTACATAAACTATACATTTAAAAGTATGTTCTAGAAAAATATTTTAGTAAGCTAATATTCTCTTGTTGAGAATATGCAGACATGTAATATATTTGTTGATTACACTAAAATATGAAATCAGATTTATATTATCTTTATATCTGATTCATATAGTAACTTAAAACTCACCCAGTTATCTTATTCTGAATAAATTGACACCCCCCATTTACTCTCTTTCCCGATATTTACTACTCAGTGAAGTAAGCAGTGAATTCTTTACGTATTCTAGATGTTATAAAGAAAAATCAGTAAATGGACCCGTCTGGATTGATAAGAATCTCCTAAGTTAATCATTTGTCAGGTAGACTTGGTGGTTAGTGGCTAATAATAGGGCTGCTGACCAAAAGATAAGTAGTTTGAAGTTATGAGCTTCTGTACAAGAGAACATTTTGGCACTTCTGTCCTGTAATGTTGTTTATGACAATTAATTTCACAGCAGTGGTTTGTTTTTTTGTGCATTCTTTGTCAGATGTATTATTTGTAGCTTGTATCTTCATCCTCTTAACATGGTTTTTGACAGAACAAAAATTTTTCAATTTGATACTACCTAGATTATCCATATATGGAGGGGAGGGAGCAGCAGTTGAGAGAAAGGGAATAGAGGGAGAGCTGGACCAAGGCATAAGAATGAGCAAGTGAGCAAGAGCCCAAGGTGATAAATGGTGATGACAGTGAGGAGAATGTTAAGATTAAGCACGACTTAAAATGCCTTTTACTTTTAGAGGAAGAAATGTTTACTACATACTTAAAAATATTGGTCCGATTTTGTGTGTGTGTGTGTTGTGTGTGTAGGAGGAAGGTCTTAGAACAAGAACTTAGAACATGTAAATTTAAAGTTGAAACCTTGAAAAAGAATGTAATTTTTTACAGAAGATTGATTTTGGTAACTGGGGATTGAGGGTGGCAGAAGAAAAACCTTCATTTAAGGGTGATACTGAGGGAGAAGAAGCAGCAAAGGTTATTAAAGAATACAAGGGAAAACTAAGTCTGGAAAAAGAGACTCTTAAAGAATAAACGTGTTCTTGATTAAGTGTGCACTGAAGAGAAGCCAGTTAGAACTAATAAAAGAGACCAATGA